TTTTAAATACTTTTATAATAGCTTCTTTAAATCCTTAGAAACTAATAAAGACTTTATTTATTTTATTATCTTATTATACTAGTTAGTTATTAAGAAAGTCCCTTATAATAGGTCTAAACTAAGTAAGTACTATTTTAAATAAATAATTTCTTATATAGAGTACCTTTTAACTAAGTCTAAGAGTTTAATAGGGTATAACTAGTAGTAAGCCTTAAGTTAGGTAAGAAAGTCTCGAAGTATACTATAAGTACTATCGAATAGTCCTAGCTATTTTAGTTTAACTACTTCTCTAAGGTCCTTAACTTATTTACTACCTCCTTTATTCTTAAGTAACTATACCTTATATCGAAGGGTAATAATCTCGCGTATTATATCCTAAGGCAATATAGTAGCTCTAGAGTTAGTTAATCTAGTTTACTATATAGGTATATTAATAGTTATAATATTACTTAGAGTAACGCGGTATTATACTAAATAAGAGCTTTTAATATATAATAACTAGTATTATTCTTAAGGGATAAACCTATTAAGGGGTTTATATTAGTAGATACAATAGGGCGTAGTCTAAGTAATAATATATATATTACGTTAGTAATAAGTTAGAGGTTATAGACTATAGACTATAACTAGGTAATTAAAATTAAAGATAGAATCGTAATAAAAATCTATATTAAAAGCTAGAGAGCTATCTATCTAAAGAAGTAAAAGTAGGTAGCTATATATACCTATAGAGACTATCCTTAGATTATAGGCCTAGCTATAATCCCTAACGTTAGATCGTATAGAGTATAGTAATCCTATTAATCCTAGATTACTTAGATCTCTACGATCCCCTCGATCCTATATCTATTAGATAGTTATACTAACTATTTATCCGTTAGACTATATTATATACTTAACGCGGTCGACTATTAGCGGCTTAGTAGCTATAGTCGTAATACTTTACTATAAACGTAGTAGTAGAATAGTATAGTAATTTATTACTAAAGGGCCGCGCCTCTATATTTATATAAAAGCTATAAGAGACTATAGATTATTACTAATTTATAATAGCCGCCGCGGTATACGATTAAGAGCGGCACGCTAATAAGACTAAGGCCCTAGTAAATAGGTTTATAGTAAGAGATAAGGTATAGCTAAACCTCTATAACTATAGGTCGGTATAGCTAAAAAAGAAGCTTAACTAGCTATATATAAAGTTTATAGTATAGAGGGTTATTAGCTTATAGGTTATAGAGCTTAATAGTCTCTTAATAGGGGTCTATAATAAGATTAATATAGACCTTCTTTATAGAGCCTCCTTTAACTTACTACTTAAATAAAAAATAGTAAACGCTTAACCGCCTATAATTAAGGTAAAGAGAAAGGATAAGTTTAAGGTTAAAGAAATATAGGCCGCGCGCTAGAAAAAGGTTAGTAAGGAGAAACGCTAAGAGGTCCTTATTAAGTAGCGCGAGTATCTTAACCTTATATAAGAACCTATATATAAGTTTATAAGAACTATAGCTCTTAATAAGTTTAAAGCCTTATTTAAAATAATAAATAAGAATAATAAACTAATAAACTACTAATAATAGCTTAAGCTAAGACTATAAAGTAGGTAAAGTAAAGTAAGTAGTTATAATAACGCGAGTATAATAATATAAGTAGAGATAAAAATAGCGTTTATTTTAAGGTAGAGCCCTTAGACTACCTAGACTTACTCCTTATCCTTATTATTATCCTTATCCTTATCCTTATTATCCTCCTTTACCTTATTAACGGCGGCGGCGCTCTTTAAGGCGCTTAGGCGGCCCTCTAGGCCTACGAGCTAGTCGGTAGTAGCGGCGGCTCTAGGGGCTCCGGGAGTAGGGGGGGCCCGGCTAATAGTAGCGGCGGGGGCGGCGGCGGGCACGGCTAAGGGGACCGCCAATAAGGCGATAAAGGTAGTATTCTTAGTACCGGGAGAGTTAGTAGCGGAAGTAAAAGAGCTAGAGGAGAGGAACTTACTTAAGGACGAGGCCCTAGTACTCGAGGGCGCGGAGATTATAGTAAGCGGCAGCGGCGGTAATAAGGCGCTTCTTAGTAGCCCCCTATACCTACCTATACGCGTTAGCCTTCTAAGCCGACGCTATAGCGAGTAAGATAGGAGGCGCCGCCTTATAAGCGCGGCCGGTATACGCGTATTAATAATAACTACCGCTATAGCGGCGCCCGTCTTAGTTAGCGTAGGGGAGCTCCTATAACGCGTACTATATATAGGGGGCCGCGCGGGTAGCTCTAGCTTATACTTAGCGTTTATACTTTAAGAAATTAGCGGAAAATAGCTACTATACTCGCTAAGTAGCGGACTTATAGGGGTAGTAAAGGTAGAGGTAGAGGTAGAGGGGCTAGGTATTACGGCCGGCGGCGGGGATAGCGTCGTTATATAGAAGGGCAATATAAGGGCGGCTAGCGTAGTAGAGGTAGAGGCGGCGGCGGTAGGCGCGGTCGCGGGGGCATAGGTAAGAGTAGCGGTAGCGGCGGAGCCGTCGTCGGCTATACTTAGTATAACGTCGACGAATAACTCTATATACTCTAAGAAAAAGGAAGTAGGGGAGGGGGGGGTAGATATATCTATCGCGGAAGTTAGTATTACGGATTACGGCCTCCCGCTCTATAAGGCGGAGAACTTACTAGTTAAAGTTATTATTATTAAGGCTATTATTACTACTATAGCTACTACTATAAGTATATATTAATAAAGCGGCTTATATAGCTAAGAACGAACTAATGCCTTAGGTAAAGTAGAACTTACTTATTACTATTACTATTATAGTTAAAGAAAGAGAAGAAGGAAAGGAAGGAGGAAAAGGGGGATGCCGCCTTATATACCCCTAGGTAGAGGAGGTTGCCTAAGGCCGAGGGAATAGGCAACCTAAGGCTTACGTAGGTCCGGGCCGGCCGCCGGCTACCTAGGGGCGTATATAATAGGTCGCGCTCTTATTTAAACGGCTAGCCGGCTAATAAGTATAGAGCCTAGTTCTAGCTACTTAGGTTAATAGGCGCGGGGATAATAGGGCTAGTAGGGCTAGTATAATTAATAGGAAAGGGTAGGGTAGAGCTAGCGGTATAGGCCTAATAATATAGAAGCTATTAATTAAGTAACGCCGCGCTATACTTAAGGGAGGGTATTATATAAAAGTCTTTAACTATTATAGGTTATAGGCTTAAGCTACGGCCTAAGCTATATAGTTACGTATAGAGGGCCGGATCCTATATATATATATACGGGCTAGCCGCGTATAGGAGAGCTTTATATAGCTTATTAATATTATCCTATAGACGGTACCTACGCCTATGCCTTTACTTACTCCGTAATAGTAACTTTAGTAATATAGAAAAGGAAGAGACTAAAGCGGTTAGTTTTATATATATTATTATAGCTAATAACCTTAAGGAAACGTTTCTATATCTTTTAATATTATAGATAGGTTTATAATACGCCTAAAATCTTATTTTTATTATATTAGTCGAATTTAATATAATAGGGAAAATCGCTTACCTAAAAATATTATAAAAACGCTTATATTACTATTATATCGCTAAGAGCTTTAAAACGGATCTTTTAATAGTTATTATAAATATCTTTAATATAAAAGAATACTATTAAAGGTTTAGCTTTATATAAGATAGTTAATATCTCTTAAGCTAGTAGTACTTTATATTAAGAGAGGTTCTGCTTAAGAGCTTACTATATATTAGTCTACTAGCAATAAATATTATATATAGAGGGATTAAGGGAAAGCTTATAGTTATAGCGATCCTTAGTAATACGAAAATCCTACTTTTAAGCTTCCTTATTATATAACGCTATTATAATAAAGCGGAAGGGGCAGTTAAGCTTTTAAGTAGAATATTTATATAGCCTAGTACTTAAAGAAGCTTACTATAGGCTACGATTATATATAAAGAGGAGTCGTATTATAATAGAGAGAGACCTTATTATTATCTCGCTTATATATACTTAACCGCTTAATAACCGCGGCGCTATTCTTATAAAGGAAGTATTAAACGAAGTTATATACCTTATCGTAGGTTTTAAAGCCTAAGGAAGGCGGCAAGGGCGGGATCGTATCTTCGCGTTCTTAGTAGGCATTATAGGCATCGTAGGCATTATCTAACGTATTAAGGAAGGAGAGAAGGGGGTCTATCGCAGCGCTAGTAATAGCTTTAAATTTAGTATATATATATAGGTTATATATATAGGTTATATATACGGGTTATATATATATATAGGCGGGCGTAGGCGCGGGTATAGGCATTTAAGCGGTACGGGTACTTACTAAGCGCGCGCGGTATAAATAGGCGGGGCGGGCTAGCTTTAGTACGTATCTTAAAAATAGGTTGAGTATATAAATAGCAATACTCTTATAATAATAGTTACCGAAGAAAGAGACTGCTAAAGATAACTGCTAAAGAAGATTGCTATAGAAAGAGCTTATAAAATACCGTAGCTAAGCGGCTGTCGAGACTCTAGCTAAGGAAGCTGCCGGACTATAGCTAACGGAGCTGCCGGACCCGTAGAGACTGTTGGTCCCGTGGAAGCTGTTGGTCCTATAGAAGCTGCTAGTCGTATAGGCTGTGGAAGAAGTTATCGTATTAGCAGAGAAAGAAGGAGAAAAGCTAGAAAGAAGTCCGCTGCTTACTGCTAGCGTAGCTATCCCCCCTCTATAATAAAGACTAAACGCCCTCGTCTACTAGAAGAAGAAGCAGCTGCCATAGAGGGCGCCTGCCGGAGACCTCTATCGAAAAGGAAAGCTCTGCGCGGGAGGAAAGTTCAGTTATATAGAGGGATTTTCCATAGTATATAGACTAGCAGGTATAGCTCGTAGAGCTATTAGGCTTATAGTAAGGTTCCTAAATAATTAGGCCGAAGCTATCTATAATTAGGAGCTATAGTTAACTAGTATTAGGGGGCTACTCTATAGAAGCTCCTCTACTAGGTTTATTTATATGCTTTCTATAAATTATATAAATCCTTATAAAAGCATCTGCTGCATGACATTTAGGCGGTAACTCTCGCGTCGTTCAAGCAGCTCGGCGTGGCGTCCATAATCGACAATACGCCCCCCCTCGACGACCAAAATAACGTCTGCCTTCTGTGCAGTATGCAACCGATGCGTGACTGCCAGTACCGTGGCGCGTCGCGACGCCCTATCAAGACCCTCCTGCACGGCTGCTTCTCCCGCGGCGTCGAGGGCGCTGGTACTCTCATCGAGGAGAAGCAAGCGTGGACGACGGACCAGCGCACGTGCAATGGCGAGGCGCTGTCTCTGTCCGCCTGACAGGCGGGAGGCGGAAGGGCCGCATGCGGTGTCGTAGCCGTCTGGAAGAGCGACGATGTCGTCGTGGATGTTGGCCAGGCGGCAAGCCTCTTGGATCTCTTCCATTGTGGCATCATGGCCCGGCAATGCGCCTAAGCCTATGTTGTATCGAATTGTCCCGTCAAACAGAGCAGGATCCTGCGGCACCAAGGCAATGGCGTCACGGAAAGAGGGGGGCAATTGGGCGATGTTCCAGTCATCGAGGTGGACAGAGCCCGAGCTTGGTGCGTAGAGTCGCTGGACGAGGTTGACAATAGTTGACTTGCCGGCCCCTGAAGGGCCCACGATGGCGCAGAATTGGTTTGGTGCAATGGTGAAGGATACATCATCAAGAATAGGGACTTGCGGACGGCCTGGGTAAGAAAACGACACATATTTGAAGGCCACCTTCACGCCGCCCTGGCCATGATTGTCCAGGGGGTTGTCGCAACTTGGCGGCGCCGTAGCCTCGACATCGTCGTGTCCAGCCTTGGCTACAGAGCGACTGGAGCCCAGTTCAACTACTGCCATGACCCGAGACAGGGCTATGCAGGTCCTGGAGAACTCGGGTGCGAGAGTAAACATGTTGCCCCATAGCTGAAGGCTAACCAACATGACTATCAGAATGATGAGCAGGTCCGTTTGCGTGTACTCTCCCCTCATTATCAGCTGCGATCCCCACCAATAGGCCAGGCCGTTGATCATGGGGCCGACGGCCTGTGACATGGCGAGGAAGATGTTCGCCGATGCCGACGCGCGCACCAACTGCTTTGCAGGAGGTTCCAGCAAGCACAGGTACGACCGCATGTAAGTCTTCTCGAGTGACAGTGCAGCGACGGTGCTGATGGACTGGACTGCCTCGGTAGCAAGCGAAGTTGCCTTCGTAAAGGCCTCCTGGTGCCGCTCCTGGTAGCGCGCGAGCATTCGAAGCTGTAGGAAACCCAAGCCGAGCAATATGGGGATAGCCACGAGACAGACGAGGGCAATCTTCCAGGCCACGATGTGGGAGATGATGATGGCAAGGACCACATTGACACAGACGGCGAAGACGGTGCCAAACGTGGAACCGCAGAAGCTACCAATGGCCATGCAATCCTTGGTTATGATGGACAGCGATGCCGACGGGGAGCGGCCGTCTGACTGATGCCACTCAACACGCCGCTCAAGGAGCGACCGGAAGGAGAGAACGCGCAGCGCGTAGAGGACCCTTTCTCCAATGATGCCGAATCCCCACCAGGCGAGAAAGTTGGCCATGAGCTCGACTCCGGCGAGCATAAGGATGAGCCCGGCAAAGAATCTGCCCATGGACGTGATACGGTCAACGGTACTCTGGCAGGGGTTCAATGCCCCGACAGTGTAGCCCAAGATGACGCCGACGCCGGACCAGGCGGCTCCGACGACGACCGCCGCAGCCATGGCAATTGCGAACCACCCTAACGAAGGTCGGACGAGTGAGCAAAGGCCCTTCATGACGCTACCAAACGGTTGCACGTGGATATGACCGTCCTCGACCTCGTTCCGGCCGTCCTCGGGTTTACCATTTGCCTGACTCTCGGCGTCGAGAGGACGTTGTGTCTCAGAGATATGTGCCTCTTCGACGGCCAAATCAGCCTTGTCCAGCGATGGATCGAGCAAGCCGCCTGGAATGGGCTTGGTTCTCGCACCCAACCGTTGCAGCCGGGCCATGTAGGCAAACTTGCCGCCGTCCTTTGCCATGAGCTCGGCGTAGGTCCCCTGCTCGACGACCTGACCAGAGTCAAAAACAATGATGTTGTCGGCGTTGCGAATCGTCGACAGCCGATGTGCGATGGAGATGGTGGTCCGCCTATCGGAAGCAGCTCGCTCTACGGCAAGCTGCATCCTCTGTTCGCAGACAGAATCAACCGAGGCCGTCGCCTCATCGAGGATGAGGATTTCGGGGTCGCGGATCAAGGCTTGGGCGAGAGCAATGCGCTGTCGTTGGCCGCCGCTCACCTGGCTTCCTCCAGGGCCGGCAGACGTCCCGTAGCCAGTACCAAGACGGTCAATGAAGCAAGCGGCATCGGCTTGCTCTGCTGCAAGGCGTACCAACTCGACGATTTCGGCAACCTCGGCACAGCCAGACGCAGCAAATGCAAGCCCATGCTTGCCCTTGGCCGCGACCTGGGCAAGCTCGGGCCCGCCAAGCCGAGACTTCAAGTGCTCGTGGCGTTGGTGTGGAGAGTTGACGAGTCCGAGGGCAATTATCTCCAAGATGGAGCACTGGAAAAGAGAAGGCGTCTGCTGAACAAGGGAGATGAAGCTCCGCAGGGACCTGACATTCAACGTTCGCAGATCGTGGCCGCCCATCTCTATTGTCCCTGCCGTGGGGTCATACAAACGGGCAATCAACGAGGCAATAGTTGACTTGCCGCTGCCAGAGACGCCTACAATCGCCGTGTGCTTTCCGGCGGGAAACTCCAGGTCGACATTCCGCAGAACGGGCTGGCCTGGCCTCGAGGCATACTCAAACGATACATTGCGAAACGTAATCGTCTTTGCCATGCCGGGCTGCAGCATCAGGCCGGCGCTCGATGTCCCATCAATGGCAGAAGGCATCTCAATGTCCTCGGCGAGGCGTCGGTATGCCGAGACGGCACTTCCAAGGAACGGGAGCAAAGGTGCCAGCCCGCCCAGCATGATGCACGCTACTCCATCAGCGACGTGTCTGGGGGAAAAGTGAATGCCAACATACCGTCGACAAGGAGATAGACGATGGAGTATATCTGGCCCATCGTCGCACGGCCGCTCTCCTCGGCCACGGTGTCGGCGATGCGGATGCTGCCCTGCCAGAAGGCTAACGCATTAGCACAATAGGCAACAAAGTACAAGAGTCCAGTCTGGACAGCGGCGATAGCAGCTTTGGCAACGGCGTGTTTGCGCGCACGAGCCATGTGCCTGACGAAGACGGCCTCGAGTCGAGGCGCGGCTCCGAAAGCATGGACGACGGGCATGTGCGACAGGGACTCGGAGGCAACCGAAGTGGCGGATTCGGTCGCCTTGTTCTGGCGCTCCGTCAACTTGGCTATGTATCTGCCGCCGACGAGGCCAGAGAGGACAAAGGTCGGCAGCATGAAGATCAACATGCCGGCCAAACGCGGCTGCTTCGTAAAGGCAATGATGAACACGGTGACGAGGAAGCTCAGCGTCATGATGATGGTTCCGACCTTCTCCGACGTGCCGGACTCGACGGCAGTGATGTCGCTGTGCAGCCGGCTCGACACCTCGCCGGCCGCTCCGCGCACATCGAAGAAGGACGGAGGCTGCCGCAGAAGAGATGCCATGTACTGGTAGCGCAAGCGCTGGGCCAGGCGCTGGCCGACGATGCTCCAGGACGTTAGGTAGCAGTAGGTAAAGGCAAACACCGCTATACCGGCGCAGGCCGTCTTGACCACCTTGTCGTTGATGGCCGTTTCATAGCGAAAGGGGTCCTGGCCGGACCCGTCCCTGGCCGCGCATGTGATGGTATTGAAGTCGTCGACGAGCTGCCCGAAGAGGATGCCGATCAAAGGCCAGGGGACTCCGGCTCCGATGGCACAGAGAGTTGCAAACAATATTAGGAAGACGTCACTAAAAGTTGGCTGGGCGGCAAAGAGGAGTTGGAAGTAGATAAACAGGGACCGGGTGACCTGGTCGACCTGGAGTCAGGCTTGCTTTCTCTCGAGAGACGAGTGAGGTTGGCAACGACGCGAGACTCACCTGTGACCCGCGTTTTGGTCTCGAATCCACAGCATTTGTGCCGTCCGCTGAGGCCTCTACAGAAGCCCGTCTGTCCCCGTCTGCACACTTGTTGGCGACCACCTGGTCCTTCTCTAAAGCCATGTTCCGTGGATCTGTCGAATTTGGAGATGGAGGCGTGCCAGGCTTGGGAACAGCACTAGAGTATCGGAACGCTCGTGTGCGAGCGGGCAAACAAGATTGGATTCAGTTGCTGTTCACGAGAGTGACAAACGGCGGAGAATTAAGAAGCTCTCATTAGTGGTTAATGTCACGCCGGTCATTTCGCCCAAATCGCCTACCATGAGCAATGTGCTGAAGCGGACCCGAGATGCGAGAAGACAGATTGAGGCAAGAGCCTGTAGGATTTAGAATTGCCTCTCATCGGTGGATGCATAACTGCGACCATGACGTGGCAAGTTCCCGGTGGGCGGTTTATAGGGTTTGCGTGAACATGAGGCCTTGAGGCATTAACTCCAGAGCTATAATTAACACGAGGATCTTATAACTTAAGAAATGGCTTGCAGAATATACCGTAGAAACTCACTAAATTGGGCCAGTGTTGGCAGTCTAATTAAATCTGTAGGCGCCCCACGTATGGTGCCATCTCAGACTGCGTACTTGGAAAAATTCGAACTTCTTATAGGTACCCGTGACAGCTTGAACATCGTATCATACAAATCTCGACCAAAGACGGTTCCGTGAGTCCGCATAGTAACCTTTTCCGAGTCCCAAATGACCCCATAATATCCTATGACGGGCACGTCGGTTAGCTTCGTCATCCTGGCCCATTAGACCTATAGTACACCCCTAGGGGCGGGCCCCTTAGCTAGGCCGACACCTTACGGCTTGGTCTGCGGACTCCTCTGCGTCTTGCGTATAACATGACGGGTATAGCTGATATTATAGAACCTGCACTGAAGGTTTCTATATCATAAAGACTGTAGGAGTGGGTGTGATCCTAATGATTACACCCTCAAGGGAGGAAGGACAGAGCTAGCACTACCCTGCCAATGCACCCCTGTTCCACTCGTAACGTAATATGGTTAAAACCTGCATGTGGAGCTATCATTTCACACCGTTCTTGATTAGATTGATAAGATGATCTTATAACGATTTGCGCTGTTTTTGTCCTGCTCCACCACGTTTGGGTCTAGATTGATAAGAAGATCCACCTAATCAAAATTTGCGCTGTTTTGTCCGGTTCCACTCGGCGGAGTGAACTTGGAGGAGCGGTGGCGAGGGCCGTCGGAGACCGAGTTCTACCGCGGAACAGCAGGGGAAGTCTCATTCCTGCCTAGGTATACAAACCAGGACAGAGCGCGGCATTATCAATCGCAAGGAGGGTGGACCGGGGAGTGTAACTAAAAATGCCTTGTATTATTGACCGCCGAAGCACTCCATGGGCTAAGCGGTCCACCATAAAGGTGCGGAATGGCTCGGTGGCAGCTCCAGGCTGGCCGCTGTGTAGAAAGCACTGTTGCCTCTGTATCCCGGCTTGAGTGTTGACAAAGTCCTGAATACCACTCGAGGCAGTTGCTTGCCGAGGAATTGAAGATGGCAGTCATGACCGGTGGCGTCGATGTGCCGGGAACCGCAACCGTCAACTCGGCCACAGAGCCAGCCAGGCCTGCTTCGGAGCAACCCATTACAAGTCGACCGCTAAGCAACAAGGACTTAGAGCAGATTTGGACATGGAACGAGGCCGTCCCTCCGCGAATAACATCATGCATGCACGATCTCTTCCGCGACAAGGCCCGGCAGCGGCCGGATGCCGTGGCCGTGGAATCGTGGGATGGAACTTTGACGTACGGCTTGCTCGACGAGCTTTCGTCACGACTTGCACGGCTACTGAGGCCAAGGGGCGTCGAAATCGGCACCCGCGTTGTCTTGTGCTTTGAGAAATCCATGTGGACCATCGTGTCGCTGCTGGGCGTCATGAAAGCCGGCGCGACATTTTGTCTCACCGATCCGAGCCAGCCAGAGGCAAGGCTGCGAGCCATTGTCGAGCAAATGGGGGCTCGATTAGTCGTGGCTTCGGTGCTCCAGAGCCAGCTCGCGGCGAGGATATGCGCCGAGGCCCAAGTGGTGGCCGTGTCGCGGGACTACCTCAACCAGTCCCACGACGAGACCCCGGAAGGCCTGCCTCGAGTTCCAGGGACCTCGCCCATGTATGTCATCTTTACGTCGGGCAGCACGGGCAAGCCCAAAGGCGTCGTCATTTGCCACGAGAACTACACGAGCGGCGCCATCCCGCGAGCCAAGGCCGTCGGCTACACGCAGAGCTCCCGCGTCTTTGATTTTCCCTCGTACGCCTTCGACGTAAGCATTGACTGCATGCTTTGCACTCTGGTGACGGGCGGCACCGTCTGCATCCCGTCCGAGGCGGACCGAATCAACGATCTGAGCGGCGCCATCCGTAGGAGCAGAGCCAACATTGTGCAACTGACTCCCTCGGTCGCCCGTGTCTTGGAGCCCGACATCATCTCCTCGCTCGACGTCCTCGGAGTAGGAGGAGAGGCGGTATCGGCAAGTGACGCCACGGCCTGGGGCAAGACGACAACCGTCGTCATCGGATACGGGCCCTCGGAATGCACCATCGCTTGCACCATCAACAATGCCGTCGGCGCCTCGACGGGCATCGGAACGGGTGTTGGCGCGACGACGTGGATCACGGATCCGGACAATGACGGCATTTTAATGCCCGTGGGAGAAGTGGGCGAGCTCCTTGTCGAAGGGCCCGTTGTCGGGGCTGGATACCTGGGAGAGCCGGAGAAGACGGCCGAGGTCTTCATCGAGAGCCCTACCTGGCTACGTCGCGGGCACGGCTCGGTCCCCGGCCGCCGGGGTCGCTTGTACAAGACCGGAGACTTGGTCCGCTATGAAGCCAAAGGCTCAGGGTCCATGGAGTTTGTTGGGAGAAAGGACCACCAGGTCAAGCTTCGGGGACAGCGGGTCGAGCTGGCAGAAGTCGAGCATCACCTGCGGACCTGTGTCCCCGCCGGGACCGAGGTCATCGCCGAAGTTGTCGAGGGCGCCGGCGGCTCCAAGACACTGACTGCGTTCCTCTCGGAGCCCTCGGGCCCGGCCGTGGCCGACACGGGCACCTTGCTGACGGAGCCGTCACCGGCACTGGCGTCTGCCCTTGCCGGGATCGACACTGCCATGGAAGCCAGAGTACCGAGATACATGGTCCCGGCGGCTTTTGTAATCATCCGGACCATGCCTTCTCTCGTCTCGGGCAAGGCCGATCGGAAAAGGCTGCGCGAGTTGGGCGCGTCGCTGCGGCCCGGTGCCGGCGCGGGACATGGAGACGACCAAGAGCCAGGGGCAGAGACGGACAAGGAGAAGAAACTGCAAAGGGCGTGGGAACAGGTCCTGGCGCCCGGCGTCAAGATCGACAAGAAGAGCAACTTCCTGGCTCTGGGTGGCGATTCGCTGGGCGCAATGAGGCTTGTTGCGGCTGCGCGAGGCGAGAGTCTGGGCCTCAGCGTCGCCGCCATCTTTGCCAACCCCAGTCTCGACAAGATGGCAGCCGAGGCAGCAGACATGGCAGACGCATTCCAGGACCCGGTGCCGCCTTTTTCACTCCTCGAGTCGGACTGGGACGCATCAAACGCCAAGACGCAAACGGCTCGCCTGTGCAATGTCGCCCCAGACGCCGTCGACGACGTCTACCCCTGCACGCCCCTGCAAGAAGCCCTCATGGCTCTCTCGGCCAAGGTCCAGCAAGCCTACGTCGCCCAGCGTGTCGTCGAGCTCGAGGATGCCGCCGCCGCCGAAAGGCTCTTTGCCTCCCTCGACACTGCCAGTCGAGACTGCCCTATCCTGAGAACAAGAATCGTGCAAGTGCCCGGCCGAGGTCTCGTCCAAGTCGTGGTCCGGGGCGGCCTCGTTCGCCGCGGGAGTTCGGACCTGGCAGACTATCTCGTCTCGGACAGCGAGGAGAGCATGCTTCTAGGCGAGCCGCTCGTGCGGTGTGCCGTCATTTCGAGCACCACCAACAAGGTTCATTTCGTGCTGACCATGCATCATGCCCTATACGATGGCTGGGCAATACCGCTCATCATGGATCGCGTTAACAAGGTCTACCGCGGCCAGACGCTCCAACGCCCGGCCGAGTTCAAGCATTTTATCAGGTATCTCGGCAGCGTTGCCCGCGAGGACACCGCCGCGTACTGGCGCGAGCAGCTCGACGGTGCCACCGTGCCGCAGTTCCCGGCCCTGCCGTTCGACGAGTATCAGGCGCAGGCCGACTCCCTGCTCGAGGTGTATGTACCGCTCCGCCCTGCTGCGGCATCCGAGGCAACAATGGCCACCGTGATCCGAGCCGCGTGGGCCCTCGTTGTCTCGCAGTATGGCAACCAAGACGTCGTCTTCGGGGAGACGCTTACGGGCCGAAACGCCTCCGTCGTGGGAGCCGAGCAGATTGAAGGGCCCATGATCACGACGGTGCCCGTACGCATCCGAATCCATGGCCATGTGACAGTGGCGGAGTACCTTGCGTCCGTCCAAGAGCAGGCCGTGTCCCAGATTCCACACGAGCACTTTGGCCTGCAGCACATCCGCAAGCTGAGCCTCGGTGCCTTCAACGCCTGCCAACTACGAACAGGTCTCGTCATCCATCCCAGCACAGGTCAAGAGGAACTGCAAGACGACCACCTACTGGCCAACAAGCTTGCCCCGGCGGGCGATGCAGAGGCGGCTCAAGAAGCACTTAGGTTTAACCCGTACGCCCTGATGCTCGTCTGCTTCATCGATGCCGAGGGAGTTCGGGTCATGGCGAGCTTCGACTCTCGTACTGTGGCCTCGCCAGTGATGCAGGGGGTCCTGGACCACTTGAAGCGTGTTGCTCAGATGCTCTGCGACGAGGAGAGTGGCAGTCTTGCGCATGTCCTGGATCTCACCAGTGACGACTATCCGTTAGAATACAGCCATTTCCAACATGCCAAGTACGGCTCAGGGGCACGGTCTGTGGCAACGCACGCCACCAACCACGGCAGAAGCATCGAGGATCAAGACGCTGCGAGGCCCGAGCTAGTTACATCGCGCCGACAGATTGCCCTACGGCGCCTCTGGAGCAACGTCCTGGTCATCGAGGAGGACGACATTGGCCTCCAGGACGACTTTTTCCTCCTCGGGGGCGACTCCATATCCGCTATGAAGCTCGCGTCTGAGGCACGCCTCGAGGGCTTCAAGCTGACCGTCATGCAGGCGTTCCAAAACAGGTCTCTGTACGACATGGCGAGAACCATGGGGGACGAGACGGCAGCTCCGCCGCAGGAACCCGGCAGAAACAAGCCCTTTTCACTGCTACGTGTCCAAGACTGCCGCCGCGTATGGGTGCCAAACGTGATTCAGCCCCAGCTTGCAGACAGCAGTTGGACCGTGGCCGACGTGTTGCCGGCCCGTCCGCTTCAGCAACTTGCCGTCAATGGAACGACGCAGGTGCCGAGATACGCCGTGCGCTACGAGCTCATGCATTCCGACGTCGGCTTGGACAGGGCTCGACTCACCAGGGCGTGCGATGATCTCTTTGCTCGAAACGAGATTCTTCGGACCGTCTTTATTCAACACGACGGACAATGCCTTGGCGTCGTCATTCAAGACTTGCCTGTCTCTTTCGTCCACCATGTCATTGATGGCGACGTCCAGCAGTTCTCCAAGCAGCTCTGCCAGCTCGATGTCCTCACCAGCATGCCCCTGGGCTCCTCGTTTGTCAAGTGGTTCCTCATCGAGTCGACCAAGGGCCCATGCTGCCTCATCCTGCGCCTCTCGCACGCACAGTACGACGAGATGTGCCTGCCATTCCTGCTGAGGCAGCTCTCTGCCCTACATGAGAACAAGCCCGTCCCAGCGTCGGTCCCCTTTTCATCCTACGTCGGCCACGTGTTGCAGGAGAGCCTGCCTGCAAGCGTCTCGTACTGGCGGGACCTTCTCGCCGGCTCGTCCATGACGGTCCTTAAGCCTGATATCCCCGTACTCAAGAGCAACCATTTCGCCATTCGACGGACTGTCGACATTTCCTCCCGTCCCCGCCACGTCACCATCGCGACGCTCCCGACTGCGGCCTGGGCCCTATGTCTGGCCCGCCGACTCTGTCTTCGAGACGTCGTCTTCGGGGAGGTTGTCAGCGGACGCAACATAGGCTTCCCCAACGCCGACGCCGTCATGGGTCCCTGCTGGCAGTATATCCCCGTGCGGGTGCGCTTCGACGCGGGCTGGACGGTGCTCGACCTCCTCGAGCACATACAGCACCAGCACGTTGCCTCGTCGGCGCACGAGGGTGTCGCCATCGGCGAGATCACGGCCCAGTGCACCGATTGGGATCCCGCCACCACGTCCAACTGGTTCGACTCGGTCGTCCACCAAGACGTGGCGCACGTCGAGGGCCTCTCCTTTGCCGGGGCCGACGTACGCACCGAGACGGTGTATCCGCACGAGGAGCCGCTGCGCGAGTGGAAGATTCAGGCCTTCATCGAAGGCCATGACATGACGCTCGAGATTATCACTGTGGAGAGCTGGGGGGAGTACGCCAGGGGTCTGCTTGACGACCTGGTCAACGTGGCGACATTTCTGGTCGAGGAGCACCGGGGGCTCGTATGTTGAGCCGACGCACGGAGCTAGAACTTTCCATTCCTTCCAAATTGGCCCTCTCTCGAAGGATAAATAGATCAGTCGTTTCCACTCAAATGGATAGACATGTGGATAGAAGCCCAGTTTACTCTACCCCCCCTAGCATCGTCCTCCTTAGTATCCATGGCAATTCAGAGACGCTGAGCATGGGTGCTCCAACTACATGTATGCGAATATTGTCATAGATAGAAGCATTTATTTTGTAGAGATTATGAACTTTTTTTCTGATTGTATTACATGCGGTGCAAATAGTAAACCTTTGATGGAGAAATCTTCGATTCCGCTACCGACAGGGGGCACACATTGAGTGCTGCATTCGGACACCACCTTGAATCAGCCGCCTTAAGGTGATACGGCCTGTCCAGCAGACCAAGATGTCAACTGTTAATAGTGCTCCCCAGTGGCCGCGACAGCTAGAAAACCGTGCCTTTAGTCTGCTTTCCGTGGACCTCCTCGAGCTTCTTGACGTTAATGTTCCTCCAGCAAATGATGGAGAGCAGGCACAAGGGCATGAAACAGGCGCCGGCAATCACCATGAGCCTCATGACGTGGCTATAGGCTCCAACAACGGCTTCGCGCTCCGGGGAGCCATCGGGGAACGACATCTGCAGGACGATGTCGCCAAAGATGGTCTTCGACTGGTTCTTCATGGGCTCTGGCAGGCGATTGTATAGCTCGGTAGGTAGCATGTTATTCCATATGCCTCCAGCAATCGCATAGCCGATGGAGGAGCCAACACCGCGAAACAGACCGGAAAGGGCATTCACGGCGGCGATTTGTTGATGAGTGACGGGGGCCATGATCGCGATGGAGCTGCACACCATAAAGAAGCTGGCACCAAGACCGACCAGAACCTGGGTCAGGGCGAGAACACCGATCGCAGCATCGGGAGAGCGGAGAGGGATGATCAGCGCCGTGCCAAGTAGCATAAGGGGAACACCACAGAAGGCGGCCCATTTGAAGTTGCCGGTCCAGCTGATGAGGGCGCCGATGATGGGCGCGAAGACGGTCGAGGTCAGTGAGTAGGCATTGAGGATATAGTTGGCGTTTGTGATGCTTTGTCTATGGACGACCTGAAGGTACGAGCCGAAATAGCCGTTCCAGCAAAAGTTAGATAGGAACATGATGCCGGTAAGCAAGCAGGAGCCGATGATGGTGCCCTGCTTGAGAAACTCGAACGCGAGAAACTGGGTCGGTGCGAGCTTGCTCTCCCAGAGGTAAAACAAGACGAACAGCACAACGCCGAGCACCACCATGACGATGATATACGGGGTTGACCATCCTTGCGGAGCATAGCGAGCCAGACTAAAGGGCAGGAGCAAGGACGACAGGGCCGCAGCGATAAGGAGTATGCCGACCAAATCGAGCTCGATAATGTAATGCTTGGTCGATTGGTACCAGGTCCTCTCCGACGAACGTCGGTTGCGTAAAACCCCTTGCTTAGAGGCTTTGCATATCATAAACGTCATCAGGATAATGGCGGGAACACTGCAGCCCGCTAGAATTATGGCGAATGCACCAAAAGCCCACCGGAAGTTGAGGTTGGTGTAGAAGAGTTGGGCAATGGCAGGGCCTGCAAACGTGCTGGCGATGCGAGGCGTTTCGTTGATGCCGAGCATAATCATACGGTTTCGGAGCGTCGTCATGTCCGAGACAAGGACCCCTACCACGTACGTCATACCAATATAGCCGGTTCGGTAGAGCACGTGGGCGGCTATGTACGTTTCCACGTTTTGGCAGACGGCCTTCATGATCATGCCGAGGAGACAAACAAGGAGCATGGCGAGAAAACCCTCGATACGGCCCCAGATGTCGATGACTTTGGCGAGAGCAAGGGGCGTGCAGCCGGATATGATTGACGACAGGATGTTGCCAATGTTCAAGAGGCCGTGTTTACCGAACGAAGAGGTGATGTATGGGTTGAGGGTCAAATCGACGTAAACGTAAAGCGTGCCGACAAACTCGATCAGATACAGGCTTGGTTTTGGGGGTGTTCGAGTCAGGTCTCATGCTGCCGGTAGTGGTTGGGGAGAGGCCTCGCGCTTACAGGACAAGCGTGCTAACCAACGTCCATTTCGACCAGATAGTCGTCATGGCTCGCACGCGCTGCACGCCACGCTGGAATGCCTCGTCATCGGAACCGGGGGCGTCACCGGAGCCAGCGGTGTGGTGCGAGGCAAAGACCTCGTTGGAGTGCGGCTCAGGGTTTGCCTTGATCTCCGTGTAGCGCTCGGCCGAAGCGAGCTCGTCCGACGTGCGCTGGCCGATGCCTCCGGCGAGATTGGGGGGTGTACTAACTCCCATTGCAGCAAGATTGTACGTCTTGAGTCTCTGGGTGAAGCCAGTCAGGACTAATAGGCAGGAAGTCCGTAAGCAAAGCTCTCGGTAGAGTAGAGTAGCAATTGAAGACTAAAGAGATCCTTTAGAGCTGGGGGAGGAGGATATAATAGGATCCTCAAGGCGAGCGATTAATGGACCTTCCACTCGGTTGCCAAGACCTGCGGTGTAAGTCCTATGCGTGCCCACCAAGGGCGCAATCCTTGCTTATAGCAATTAGACTGGCCCCAGATAAGAGGCAAGTTGCTACCTGCATACATTACATCAGGGCCCTGACCAGGGATTCAACCGCTCTGCCTAGGGAACAAACTAATAGTGGAGAAGCTGTCGTGTGTGTACCTAGAACGGGTAGTCAGCGAGGTAGAAAGTATTTATGGATATAATATAACCACGTCCGCAAGGGTAAACCCCTGCTACCTAGTAAAATAGGATAACATGCTCTCTACTTTGGCCTACAGCGTGCTGTCATACCGGACTTAATAGTTGCTAAATAAACTTAGTGGCCAGGCAACATAGGCTTAAGTACTCTATACCTGCTATAAGCTACCTAGGTACCTTTTATGTCCCCTTTCCCTTTTAGTTGAACACGCCAAGGCTTCTCCACTTTTAGTTTCATCTTTAGGCAGAGCGGTTTAATACTCCCTAGTCAGTGCCTTAAATCAGATAAACAAAACGGCCCAGAGACATTTATTGTTTAAGCAACAACTATCTTGCTTGCCTAGGTGAGATTTCCGCTTGTCATGTATTTAACAGCCTACTAAGTCAAAAGGGTACCTATCCGTAGTTCTTTCCGGCTGGTGGCATAGTTTTCACGCCCGGGCAGTGAGGCCCAAAACAGCGGGGCGGTTAGTGAGTTGTTGTGGCTTAATAGTTCCAAGGGAAGATTCAGTTTTGCTTCACATTTTCGAAGACGTGCTTGAAGACAAAATGAGCCTTCGCCGCCGAGATTAAGACGAGGCGAGTACTGTACCTAGCGGATGTCACGTACGAGGAATGCAAATGCAGCAGGGTCTACAGACGAATGGGTGGTGTGAACCTAGCTATAGTGGGGCTGTAAGCGGATCATGGCCGGAGGGAGCCGATGGGGTCCCGTCACTCTCCTGCGGGAGAGGCCTGGCCGGGTTGGCTTGCAGGGGCGCTTCATTTCAGAGGACTTCTCAGGAAAAAGGGTGGCGAAAACGTTGCTGGAAGGACCCGGGGCGCCATGTGGTTCGTGTTTACGGAGGGGGGGGGCCGGAAGGAAGAACATTTCATCTCTTCGCTCTTCAAAGGCAAGGCACGTAGGGCGCAGAAAGGCGCGGAAGAAAGATCCTTTCGTTAATTCGTTCCCTAGAGCATAAAATCCCGGCAGCGTCTAACAATCTGTCATGGAGTCCTCCGCTAGGGAAGAGACAAACGAGTACTAGGCTTTGTGTCAGTCTGATCCTTAGGGTGCATAACTAGAAGGTGGTGCACCTAGAAACCCCTAGGTTAGGACTTTACTGCAACGAAGGATCTCGAACCGGACGGTCCGGCCAGCCACCTCGACAGCAGCTGGACCGAGCGCACCCCGCCGGACCGAAATGCCATCCCAGCCGGTTACTGCTCCGGAGCCTACCCGCCCTTGCTGCAAATGGTGCCCCGTCAGTTTGAGATTATGAAGGTGTTGAGAACATTTCCCTTTATTTGCGCACCCTCGTTTGCGCTGGAAATGACTGTTAAGTCTCTGACTATATAGTCTACCACTAATTACTGTATTACCTCCCATTGTTCATGCACTAATTAGTGGGTTCTGTGAATAATAATGTTAGTTCTTACCGGTTAGACGCAAACCAATGTAGTACTCTCAAGCAGGGGCTTGAGAGCATAGTGGAAGAAATAGGGGCATAGAAAGGTAAATTTAGTAATGCATATCTTAGTCTATCTATTAGGACAAGGGAGGGGCTTATATAGGTATAGTGACTATATATAGCTAGCTAAAAGAGGGCATTAAGATATTCCTATACCTAAGTTAGGCTTATATAATATCCTTAGGCTAGGGGAGTTATATTAGCTAGGCAGGCTTCCTTATATATAACTATAAGGTCTATTAAGCATAATTATAGCCTCTTATACCTACTCTCCTTAATATACCCCCTTACTACCCTAGCTTCTAGATAGTAGGGCAATAGGTAGAGGAGCGTTCGGTCTAATAAATATAAAGCTATTCTAATATTAAATTCGGCTACTTTATTATCTATTTAATAAGGTTATCTAAAAATAAAGGAGGCTTTTAATTATATCCTATAAAAAAGGGAAGGTAAATATAGTAAAAGGGAAGTTTATTTAGCGGCTAGTACTTTATACTATATAGGTACGTTATACTAGCCGCCCCCTCTTACCTAAGAAGGGTTTAAATATTAGTTAATTAAGGTTATATAACCTACTCTTACCGCTTAATCTAGTAGTTAAAGGCTATTATTATTAACCCCTTTTATAAGGGATATAGCTACTATAAGGCTAGGTAAAAAGGATAATATATATAAAAAGGTAAAAGCTAGGACCTAAGGGAGAGGATATAGGGAGAAGCCCCTTATTTCCTCTCCTCTTAGGTCCCTAAGTTTATTACCTACGCCCCCCCTAAGGCATAGTTATATAACCTACTCTTCTACTATAAAGGGAGTTAAACTTATAATTAATAGGGTTATATAACCTACTCTTACCGTTTAACTAGCAGTTATAAGTTATATTTATAATTTAACGGGGGTATCTATACCCTAAGGAATATATATAGCCTACGTAGCTATAACGACCGGTGTTATTCCTAAGGGATAAACCTATCGAGGGGTTTATATTAGTAGATATAATAGGGCGTAGTCTAAGTAATAATAAGTATATTACGTAAATAATAAGTTAGAGGTTATAGACTATAGACTATAACTAAGTAATTAAGTAATTAGAATTAAAAATTAGATCGTAATACAGATCGTAATAATTATAATATATTAAAAGCTATTAAGCTATCTATTTAAAGGAGTATTCCGTTCCTTCCTTATATATCTTAAGAGCTTCCTTAGATCGCCGAGAGTACTAGGTAATCTTATTGCCTAAGAGCGCTAGAGCGCTAGAGCGCTAGAGCGATCCTACGATCCTAGCTATAAAGTATTAAAGCGCTAAAGTAACCTATCGCTTTAAACTTAATTAGCCTATCGATCTATTTAATATTCCTTGCTCCCTACGTTATATATCCTTATAATATATACTAGTCCCTGCGGTTTACTAGACTATAGTTATAATAGGATACTTCCCTTCTTTTTAGTCTTACCCTTAAGACCTACTACCTTAGCCACTATATATAAATATACCCTTATCGCGTTATATATAAGTATATTATTCTTTATTCTTTTATCTTCTTAGGATATACTACTAATAGTATATTTAGTTATATTTAAAAATCCTATTCTTATAATTCCTATAAATCGCGTTAATAATTAAAGCTAGTATTCTAGACTAAGATCTATAGTATTAAAATTATACCTTACTCTTATTATTTTTAGTTAAGCCTAACCTATAAGGTCGGCGAGCGTTTTAATTAGGTTAGG